CTCATATCTCCGTCAAAAAGGCGCATGGGCCCAAACCAACTTGGGGTTTTTCACTACTGACTATTCCCTACATGATGAAAATAGTCTGAGTCGAAAAGCTTTTAATCACCTCGAGAGGTTCCCTCGTTAGACATTATCGCGAAAAAATTGAAATATACATTATTCAGCATAAAATTAATTTCTCTACAAAATTTAATGTTTAGAAAAAATCTTCGTTCCTGAAAACCAGTTTTTGAAGCTAGCTATTGTCTTGTTTAAGCCCAAACGGTTTCTCGATAATTAATAATTTTCAATAGTGTTTTCGAAAGAGACAGTCGACGTCTATATACTTACACGAAAAAGTTTCTCGTTCGACCTGGTTTCGTGATAGAATGTGACCTGCGGATTTGAAAGGTCAAAAAGAAGATGAAATTTCTTCACGGAACGGTTTCTCAATTAGCGTGTTCTAATACTGAAAATAAGCCCATATTTTCTGATTATTTTGCAGGTTCTGGACAAGATATGACGAAAAACGCAGCAGATTTAACACGCGTGTCATCGCAACCGGAAGAAGAAAACAAAGAACCGGAGAATGATGATGGATATAGTGGTGGTACTCATCGTGAAAGTCAGGTTGCTACAGCACTTCGAATAAGTAAGACTTTTTTTGTAATAAACATTTGTATTTGGTCATATTGACGGAGTTCTGAAACCTGCCCTGCAGAAGCTCAGAGCAACCGTTCTATTTGCCTTATTTTCCTTTGCAGCTACAACCAATAATTTTGTAACACAACCTACAGGAAAGAGATCGAGTGTTTTCTATTTAAGCGGAGAAGAGGAAGAAGATGGAAATGGAAGTGTTCATTTCGCTCGTATGGGTACTCAGTGAAAGACCATACGACGACGCAGTTTACTGCCAACTCAAGATCTGGACGAGAGTCAGTCGTCTAAAAATAGTGCAACTTCGGCAATCAGTAATAACTCAGTTTATACAACACCTGTCCCTAATAATGTATTAAAAGATTTAATAGAATCTATATAAGGACAGATAGCAGATCTCACTGATAAAGTAGTATCGGCTGCAAAACAAACAAGAAATTTAGTAAGTGTTCTCTTCTATTACGGAAGTGACATATTTGACTTTTTATTGCGATATTTTACTCTATTTCGCAGATTACACAAAAGCAAAATGATTGGGAAACTGACACATCGAGAACATATTTGAAAGAAATTGTAAGTTCAGAGTGTGAACGTCTTTAGAGAATTCCATTTTCTATTTATTAGATAAACTGCCTCTTCGCCTTTTAAAACTCAGCAATCGTAGCTCTACTCAGCCATGAAGTATTAAGGGTATCCCTGTCTTTTTTTCTTCAAAACTGCATTTGAGTTAGAGTCACCAGCTTGTAGAGGACGAATTATGTACAAAATGAGACCAGTCCCAGCTCTGTGCGATCTTTCCTTAAAAAGTTAAGAACTTTTTAAGATAAAAAATATTTTCAAAAAAATTTTAAAATTTAATTTCTGAAATTTTTTCTCGTTCGGACAAAACGAAAAATTTTTGGACACGATAATCATGTGGTTCAAGGTGTCTTCTTTAAAAAAAACCTTTCCCGCCACGCATGAACAGTTTTTGGTTGAGTTACACTCATTCTACGAAAAGTATAATTTTTTTACTGCTTTCTGCATATCTGCGTATAATTCAAAATTACACCGGTCAAGCATGGCATACTTTGCAGCTACCAAAAATTTCGTTCGATCGGGTTGTAATTTTCACCGCATAAAATTTGCCAGGATCCTGTTTCGTTCAAAAGTTATAGCGTTTTTAGTTTCGAAATCCGGTTTTGAACAACACGATTTTTGTTTTTGCTATACGTAATGGACGACAAGAAAAAAAGGAAGTTTTTCTAGAAAACTTCTAAAAAGTTTACAAAAAGGTCTTGAGGTTTATGGGAGAATATCATTTGATAAAAATTTCGAATCTCCACACCTTTGCTCCGCAATACATTGAAATATATAAAAAAAAGGGAGGCGGTATCCTTAAAAAGGATACCTGAAATCTATAGATACTGTGAGTAATATGTTTAGATATACGATGGACAAAATCTGTTATTGATATCAGGACTCAGTCTTGCTGAATTTGGTCGTAACGTTCTGTCTACCTTATTTGCTAATAATGAATTAGCAACGCATACAATGCCGCCGTTACATCGTCATAAACGTCGGCCGACCGATCCACCAACATTGGATGCCGATAAAATTGATATTTTAAAAAGTGAGCGAACATTTTTCGCTGACCTGTCGTATCCTTCCTTAGTAAAAGCGAAGAGCAATTGATATAAAAAATAGGGCAAAATTATTCTTGCTTTTTTTCTATTATTCGACCGAAAACCAGAACGAATTTATTAGCAGAAGTACGATAAGGTTGAGTTTTTTCACCACCACAGTCATTTCCTGTTCATGGCATAAAAACTTAAAAACAGTTTGAGTTTTGCGGAGGATGCAAAGCGACAAAGGAGCTTTGGACAGAAAGCTTTTGGCGGAAGAAACTTTGTTATTATACAATTGTGTAACTAGCTTCTGTCATTTAGGTACAATTCGAAATAAATTTTGTATGACTGAAAAGTTTTTTGCAACTTATTATGAATTATGTATTGTTCAAACGTTGCGAACAAAATGTTCGAATGCGAAAATCAAAAAACGACAGACTGAAAAGCTGCAGCTCTTTCAACAAGAGCAGATGATGATGGAGGTGATACTGGCGCAGATAATCGTACAAATAATGAAACAGAATAATGATACTCTTTACAATGACTTTCTTTTATGAATTTTTATTTCTACTGGAATGTACTTCTCTTTTTACTAGTCAAGCATATTTTTTCTATTATGTACTCATCATCTATCTCATACTGGTTGAAAAAAATCATTACCTGTAATATCTGTCTAGTTTGTATTTACTCGCCCAGCAAAGTCGATTTTATCTGACACTGGAGATATACAAAGTTAGAAGAATGATCTATTTCTCCATATCTCAGTTTACAGTTTCTAGTGCAGTACTTTTTTTTTATTCCCTTTTTCGAATCTCATTAGCGAAAGAGAAATCTTATTTTTTCGTTACGCCGATGATTAATTCAAAATCTGGTGTTCATTTGCACATCCAGTTACGTCAAGAAGGTTTCAAGGAGAAACGGTCCCTTTTATAAGTGGCTAATCATCTGAAAAGTTTGTTCATACATTAATAATTATAGCAAAAACGGGGCTGTGAACGTAATAAGCCAAATCAAAACTAATATCAGTTAAAAAAACCGATTCTGTGATTGATCATTTTTATGTCATATCTATATCATAACGGGACATAAATGACGCATTTATATGTCATTGGATGTAATTATGGCTATAAAATGATATAAAACCTGTTGTCTCATTTTATGATCATCCGTAGAACATAGACATGATCCAAAAATGAGTCATTTATGTCTCATTATTCTATACTTATGACATAAAAATGAGCTTTCTCTAAAGCCGCTTCTCGACCCTTACATTTATGGCCTAAAAATTGTTCATAAATGATTTTGAAATGACTTGGATAGGATCATATTCTGAAGGCCATACCAGGTTTATATTTATCCTATGGAAAAATGGCATAATTATCACTACATTATGATACAATAAATGGTATGACTATGCGATAAAAATGATTCAGAAATGAGCCATATATGACATATAATTGAGTCATTTATGGTTCATTTTTTATCTCATTTTTCATGGCCTGGGTATCATCTACTATAAGATGCGATATTTAGGTTTTGCTGTTGGTGTACACACTTCGACTAGTAGCATTAAATGTTAACCACTGAAAAATTATAAATTAATAGCTGGTTTTATAAGATTCATCGTTAATTCGTTAAGTTAATATGTGAACAGAATTGATTGTTATATTAAAAAGAAATCTTCGGTGACAATCAATAACAATATAAGAGATCTGAATTGTGGCTAAAGGCGAAACAATTTATTTTGGAAGTCTTAATTTAAGTTTTGGAAAAAAACTATGCTACAATACTGAAGGTGACACCCATTATCCATAACCACCACAACGAAAGACAGGACAATAACAAGCAAAAAATCCCTCATATGCATAAAACATGAATAAATATTGCTGGAGCAAGAAGTAACCGTGACATACTAGAATTATACATCTTTATATATTTCTCTTCGTTCCAGTTATCACCTCCATTGAATTCACATTCGTTCATTACTTTTCTAAGATTCTATTCTTATTTAATGAATATATAAGATGGACGATAGTTTTGTTCATTCTTTAGTCTCGTTGTATTTTAGTCCTATCTAATGGAACACGTAAGAGTTCAGATTACTTGCGTAAAGTGTAAAATTAAGCTAATATGCAAAGCGGTTGTTGCACGGTGACTAGGCATGGAACGGTAAAGGTTACCGTTACCGTTTTATCGGTCTAACCAGTTTTTCCGTTACCGCTTTACCGATCTTACCGGTTTTAAGATTGAAATAGTGTTTTCATTTCTTAAGAAATGAAAACACTATTTCAATCTACTCTATTGACTCTTTGAGCCGATTGAAACGATTAGAAAGAAAAGTCAAAGAAGAAATAAAAAAACTATTAAAATATCCACATCAATACACTCGTTAAATAATCTCACTTTCTACTAAATTTTCTTATGCATTCATATCAAACGTTAAACCGCTAAGGTACGTTAAAATCGGTAAGATCAGTAAAGCGGTAACGGAAAAACTGGTTAGACCGGTAAAACGGTAACGGTAACCTTTACCATTCCATGCCTAGTCACTAGGGATGCAACAGTACCGGTAAACTGTCCTTAACAGTTCACCAGTTCACGGTACCGGTTCCTTAACGGTCCACCAGTTCACGGTACCGGTTTCTTCTAGCATCAGAGTGCCGAAATGAAAAATAAACACATGGGTGTAGCCTACACCCATGTGTTTATTTTGTGAATCATCCTTAACGAAATAACGTATATATAAAGTATATATCAAGTATATATAATACATTTATGTACAAACTATACATAAATACAGTAGACAGGCGAGTACTTTCAAATCTCGAATAAAAACTTCTGACTACGTGATGTGTCTGACCAGTTCTAAAACTGAGAATTTTTGCAGAATACCAGATTATCCTGTTAAGGAACCGGTACTGTGAGCTGGTGCACCGCTAAGAAACCGGTACTGTGAGCTGGTGAATCGGTACCGTGAACTGGTGAACCGTTAAGGAACCGGTACCGTGAACTGGTGAACCGTTAAGGAACCGGTACCGTGAACTGGTGAACCGTTAAGAAACAGGTACCGGTAAGAACGAGTTAAACAGTACCAGTTTACCAGTAAAGAACTGATACTGTTGCATGCCTACTAGTCACCGTGCAACAACCGCTTTGCACATATATTGACAGTTTCGCGTTCGCGGAGGATTTAAAAAAGATAGCAGAAGTTACATTCGCGGCAAAATCAAATCTTCTACTCTCATCTATTGCGAAGTTATAAAAAGCAGCAGAAGTTAACTTCGCGGCGAACTCAAAACTCCGTCTATCATGTACGGCGAACTTTATGAGGAGGTGGATGCGCCGCGGGGGGGGCGTTTTTTGTGACTGTGAGTTCACCGAACATTTCCGCGAGTTTTATCAAAGTAGATGCGAATAGGAAGTTTTGTTTCGTAATTGTTGTTGTGGTAGATTTGATTTCGCCGCGAAGTTAACTTCTGCTAATTGTTTGACTTCACGGTAGCTGACAGTGTATAGGTATAAGAGTGTACTTTTATGTGGCCTTTGAGGTATTTTTGAATTCGCGGCGAACGCGAAACTGACATTAACTCGCTTTGCATGTTAACTTCGTTTTACACTTTACTCAAGTAATCTGAACTTTTACGTCGCTTTAGTATTTTGCCATTAGAAAAATTTAGTTTTGCACTTAGAGTAAGACATTTTCGATTATATTCGATTATCGGCAACAAATCGCTCTTTCCGTTTCCTGCCTTCTCTCAATGCACAAATAAGTAACTAATGTACGTAGGAACGTGTATTTCTATTTTATAAGGTAACACGCATGTTCAATATCGATTTGCACTGCAACAACAGTATGTTAGCACAAAAGTAATACGTTAATCGTACGCCGTGATATAAGATACATCATGAACGTAATCGTAGTTGTTGAGTATCTAAAGAGAAATCGTTTCCTAATTCCTTTTAATTTTCAATTATTTCAGGAATATGTTCAATTGAAATTAAGAAATGACTGATTGTTTGGTATTTTATTAAAAATCAGTAGGTAACTTAATGATTTTTTCCACTGTAGTCGACAACAAAACTAAATTCATTGTTCATATCAGTATTGCCTTTGCTAGCACTGAGTGCTTTTTTACAATCTTCGTGTGTGGGTGTAAACGATGCCAGCAACGCAAATTGGCTTTCACGGCTCTTTTCATCTGCCAAATTGTGTTTGTACGATTAGCGAGCTCAATGTCAACAATAATATCGCGATCGAGATGAGTTTTCTGTTGACTGAGGGATATTTCATACTGGTTGTCAGTATTATTCATCTTCACATTTAGATGGCAACCGGCAAGGATTTCCGTTCTTTTCTAGAATGTTGTACAAGTCTGAAAACGACTTGTCTTCGGCAACGCATCGTTTTTGGGGAAACGTATGTAACATTGTTATCGACTTTTCTTTATTACCCATAAGCAAGTATGTCTTGAGAAAAAAGCGACGAATCACTTGATGAGGTTCCCTCATGCGATTACACATATTTCTGTATTAAAAATGATATGACATTTCATGGTCGGAGCTGAAACGACGAAATAGTTCCTGTATAGAGACATTTTTCTATATTTTTACCGGCATGAATCGAAAAAGGCATTGAAAATCCGACGGGGTAGAGCGCGAAAAGTCCAAAATCTGCGGAAGCTCGCCATCCATTTTAACAAATCTTACGTTAGTTTGAATTATGGAGCACAGTGTTTTCTACTGATTATTGCTATACCCTGTTTGTATAATTATGACAATAAAACGGTTGAGACGGATGACAAAGTGCGATTTTTCGATAGTGTGCATGGCATCTAGAATTCTAACACCGTTTCTCCTGGATTTTACTGTGATCTACTACAGCGATAAATGTATATATCAAAGATCGGTTCATACCTTGGAAACTAACCGGAGCTGAGCAGAGATATTTTAAACTCGTACTCATATGATGCTTAGGGATAAATTTTCCCAAAACTTTTCAAAGTCGTCAGCAAAATTCTGACAAGCATAATTCTTTACCGTCTTTGTATGTTTTACCACTCAAAATAAGTGAGGACGTTCTTCATGTATGATTACATATTGGATGTAATCATACATGAAACACTGGTTACGTGCTTTTTTTCCACTTGACATCGAAAATCAACACTGTATGGTGCCAATTGAATGTATTTGGCTTGTGTGCCTGCAGGAGATGAGATGCCTCCTGTCGATGGATTATATCGTGGTGGAATGATCGTAGGACCGACGAAACAAATGTTGTTTCCACTGACTAGATCCAATTCGGTCACACAGGCAATTTGAATTTGGCATTCTTTTCCTGGCAGAAGATTACCAACATTGATAATGAACATATCCTGAGATTTTTCATCTTGCTCCAAGAGATATGCACCATGAGCTTGTTGAAGAGCTTACGTGTATTCCTGTTGAGCTTGTGTTTTCTCTTTCAGTTGAGCATGAATCTCTCGGTCATCGACTTTTGCAACGAATAAATAGATGGCAGCATTTTCTTCAATCAGAAAGCAGTATACAGCCTCAGTACACCATTGATTTCAGGAACGAAAAGGATTAGAAGATCGTGGAAAAAGATATGAATGAGTCCCTACCCATACAGAAAATTAAATATTTTTGTTTATTTTAAATAAAAAGAAAAAGTAAGAAGCTATATTCCTAAACTAAACTGAATGAAAGGAAAATATTTGCTCTACAAAATCATTACGAAAAGGTAAAATGGAAGCAAGCACTCTAAACGGTCACAAGGCAAAAAACTGCAAAAAATAGTTATGTAATTATATATAATTATTTTCAATATTTTGGATCTAGAAACTCCTACATAGCTTGGCCAAAAACAAATTATATTATTTTGTAGCTTCGTCCAAAATACATCAAACCTTCCCGAGTAGGGGTGGCACATTACTGTTACTGTTACCAGTAATACAAATATTATATATATCCTTATTACCAGTAACAAAATACTGAAAAGTATTATTATTGCTGGTAATACGAATATTCGTTAAATTAGTATTACTTTACAGTAAAGTAATACAAGAAAAAAATTCTTTTTAAAATAATATCCCAAAGATTTCCTAACGTGTTCTCGAATGAATATTACTGGTAATAGGAATAGTTTTCAGTACTACTGTTACTAGTAATAGAACTACTTTTCGATATTATTGTTACTAGCAACAAGAATACTTTTCCGTATTACTTTCTTCAGTAATGTAATACATGAATGACAGTAAGATACCACCCCTATTCCCGAGCCTCACAAATTTTATTTAAAATCTTATTCTTCTCATTTGAAAGGCATTTTCAAAACAAATGACATTTTCAGAATTATGAAAAAAAAGTCATTTTTCATGTCAGTAGTGACTTATGCATATATCTTCCCGTATTCTTCCGACATATATTACAGATTATTTAACACTGGATGCTTTAAGAATATGATAATTTTAACAGCTTTATAATGTGTTTAATATACTGTCGATGTTTCGAACAATACGTGTTCATTATCAGGACAGATGCTACGAAGTATTTTGAAACTCTTTATAATATGTTTAACATTAAACATCCTGTCAAAACGTTTCGCTGCTGTTAAAATTATCATATTCTTATTCAAATGTTTGCCCATTAAAAAAAGCAATTATACTGGATTCTTTATTCTCTCAAATATGACTCAAGATAATGTCAGTATAGTAGATAAGTTGCTACGACTCATTTTGATAAAATTTAATTCTGATCGTGTCTTTATTGAGTTTTGATAAAATCATTATCGGGTATTTTCGGAAGATTTTCGAGTTTTCCTTCATTTATTTGGTTGCTGTGCACCAAAATTAAATTAATTGATCATACTCGGAATAAGCGTGAAATTCTGCATCGATTGATAAATAATTTGAGCTAGTTTGAACAAACACCATTGTTGGTAGAAAAACTGTATTTTATTAAAATTCTGTCACGGCGTTACCAAAATTTCCTCAACAGGGAATTTCTTCACAGTAAAAGTTAGTGGATTAGATAGCCCGTCAAAAGTTGTCTATAAACCATCACTTTGTTAGCAGAAATATACTAAGTACCTAAGATGAAAATTTAAAAAATGGTCTTTTAGTAACGGCCTGACATCATGAACTATCAACTATTGTTTCAATTACCATCAGAAAAAGAAGAAGGAAAAACAACTTTTTCAACCGCTAAGATAAACTTTAGATATAACAGTATATTGAGTAATAAAGAAGATCACTTCGAGTGACATACTGGCGGTGCCTAAAGTTCACAAAAGTAGCTCGCTGAAGACACTTTGTAAATAATGTCTGGAAACGATTAATGAATGTCTTATAACCTCGAACCTTTAGTTTACAGGGAACTAAAAAATATGTTTTGATCGACTACACTCTACAAAATGGCATAAGCCGTTTTACCAGAATCTGATTTTAAATCTTCATTACTGAAGTGTCGCGTTACGTGTTCAAACCGTGTGCTGTGTTAGTCCTCAGGTTTCTGTTTCAGCTTGTATTCTGCCACAATGAGATCAGCTGCTCGTGCTGCCACTGCATAGGTCAGCGATTGCGTATTGGCTGAGAACGAAGATGGAGCCACGGACGCATCAACGATTCTCAAACTTTCAACTCCCCAAAGTTTCATATTGAGTGGATTGACGACAGACAACGTATCTGTCCCCATCTAGCATGTGCCAATATAGTGAAATCCGGAAGTGGCATTACCACGAATCCATTCAATAAGTTCATCACGGGTTCGATAAGCAGGACCGGGCGAAACTTCTCGAAAATTCCAATTCGCAAAACTTCTGATAGTGTCAGCAATGATCATGTAGTGCTCAAACCGGGTTTTAGGACGCTGTATTTTACTATATTCTGACGGAGATATATTCCTGTAAGAAAAATAAGTTGAATGTATAGTTCCTAAATTTTGCCATCACCCAGAAGAACTTCGTGAAATAGGCACATCTTTCCTTTGCAGTGGGAGTCGGGTGGTGAAAGTGAGCCACTAAGAAAGATCCCGTTAGAATTTATGCTCAAGCAGATTGCTGAATTCTGGAGAAAATCTAACCCAGGAACAAAAAAATTGGCCCTAAAACTCGTTTTTTCATTTTTAATGATCAAAAGACACGTTAAATGTCAGAAGTCTTTTGAACGACTTAGGAACGCGTTCCTTTTGCGTTAAAAACGTACAAAAAGCTCGTTTTCAAACGTTCAAGAACGCATTTCAGATGAAACATTTAACGCGTTTTTGATCGTTAAAAACGGAATAAAAATGCGTTTAAGGATCAAGTATGCAGCTCCTGAATCGTTCCAGAATTTTGTTAAGCCAAAGATGAGACTTGGCTACTCAATGAGACTTAATCTGAAAATAGTGGAAATCTGTAATAAATGAAGTACAAAACTGATGATCTAAAACTAAAAAAGAACGAAAAGACGACGACGATATCCCTTCGACATTTCGATTGTGCTTATATGGTCGGCGGACCGCAAAACAAGAATGATTAGCTGCGTTTTTCAATCGTTAAAAATGCGCGAGAACGGAAAATCAAACAAGCGTTATGAAACACGTTTCTGGAATGATTCAGGAGTAGCTGATTCAATCCCGAAACGCGTTTCTATTCTGTTTTTAACGATCAAAAGACGAGTTAAATGTTTCATTTGAAACGTATTACGGAACGTGTTCTAGAACGTTTGCAAACGCGATTTTTGTACGTTTTTAACACAAAAGTAATGCGTTTCTAAGTTGTTCAAAGACTGTTTTTGAAAAACGCGTAAGAACGGAAAATGAAACCATCCTTATGAAACGCATTTACAAGCGTTGTATCTCATAGAAAACGCGTGAAAACGGGAGTTTCGTAACGTATTTTTAAAACGCGTTTTCTTGCCGTTTCTAACGATTTTTTTGTGCCTGGGAAATTTCTAGTTTGATCGTAACTCTGTCAATCGTCGATTGACCCGAGCAATTACCCATATTTTACATGAACATACAGTGCATGAATAATTTCGAGTAACTGCGTGGAAAAATCTGTAATGCCAGTGGTTTTCTTTATTGATTATCTCCGAGAAGACACCACCTTCGGACGCTGTTTCGTTTACCAGGAAAAGCACATATCTCGCAAAATTCCTGGGTTTTTAGAATTTTACTCATGGATAAACGAAGCACAGGAAAAGATCGTCTTGTAATTATAAAAATAACCGTTCAGTTCGACGGAACAGAGGAAAAGAGAAGAAGAATAAAGTTCTCCAGAATAGCGACCTCTATATATAAACCTCTAGAAAATTCAGACGCAAAATTCTGAGAAAAATTAAAAAACTAAGATATCGTATAATAAATGAGTTTTCAGTAACGGTTAGAGCGTAATCACAAAAATTGTAAACATCCATGAAGATCCCAACTGATTAAACATGTCTCTCTCATCATCACTTGCAGACTTCACAATATCCGTTTCACATGCGATTTGTGTACCATGAATTTTATTCAACATAATGTGTCGCGTAATAGGTGATCTAGTTTCACATACAGCTATTTCATAACCCTTCTGTTTACATCGTTCAATTGTCGAACGCATTAGAAAATTAGATACTTTTGCCGCGCAGCACCACATTAGATAAAAATTGGGCGCTAGGTGCAAAATTTTTCGGTGAATCCGACAGCGGGTTCCTTATAATTATACTTTGACATCTTTTCTGGCGTCGACATAATCTACG